CAAAACCTTTTGAACAATAGTTGAATTTGTATCAAACGAATAAAGACGAAAGGACAGTTTTATATTTAAGGAAGAAAACACGGGTTAATCAATTTATTAAAAACCAAATGGCAGGAGGAGAATATCAAACAAGTCTCCCTCCTTTCCTACCTCCACCTCTTAGCTCACCGGTAACCTTGGGTTAATAAATAAAGTGGGACAACTGAGATAGCTCATTATCCCATTGTGTAACTTTGCGTTTGAATAAACGAAAACGAAAGAGATCATTCAGATTATATCGCCATCTATTGGGATATAGCTGAAATGTAATATTGGAAGTAAATTGGACTGCAACACATTTATTTATATTTGTTTCAAAAACTAACATTTTTTTCGGTTCACCTGTCTTTGTTAATAACTTTATCTACTAGCTACATTATGTTTATCTATTACTATCTATCTCGAGAGTTCCTGAAAACTCCAAAATTAGAAACATCTCTAAGGAACTGAATTTCTAGGAATATTCCAAATTGTAATTGTGACGATATATATTGAGAAAAATATAAACAATAACATATATGGTTATAATTGCCACAACATACACTGAAATTTAAAGTAAAATCAGTGTTCTATTTATAAACTTCTTTTAATTATTTCTTGTAATTTTCGTTCAGTGTTTAGCGTTCAATCAAAGAATTCTGACTTGATTAGGCTACAAATTATATCCAAATTGTAAAAACCATGAGCTAATATGGAAAAGTATATATATGTATATCATAAGAATAGAATTATTGAAAAATTCAGCAAATACAAAATCTTTGAAACAGTTTCATTAAAATATTTAGTTAACGTACTGACTTTAGGGAAAATGCTTTAAAAATGGGTAAGATTGATTCATAAAGAACTTTTTTTTCTCGCGATTGACTCATTTTTCTGAAGAATGTCAATGACACTTTTCCACCAAACAAGAACAAACTTCGCCTTGAGTCCCTATTAGCCAGAGTGATTGTACCATTCTTAGGATTTAAAGGCTTGTACTATGGAGAAAGTGAGCCTGTGGTCGAGTCGTCAGAACCAGAGTTGATAGCGAGACGAAGGTCTAGTGGTAAGGTTTTAATTTTACTTGTATGGCTCATAAATTAAGTCCAGTTAAATAAAGATAATAAAATTTGTGTTTATTATTACGTCACCAAAGGTGAATAAATAGCAGTCTAATGTGTGATATAAGAACAGTTATGATCATTTTTGCGTCCAAAGGTCGATATAAATAAAACATCTGTAGTGAATGCTATTTACATACATTTTTATTACCTGAAATGAGTGCAGTCAATGTTTATGTTGTGAATGTAACAAATATTTCTAATTTATACTTATCAGAAAATAAATTTCTGATAATTTTTGTCTGATTTATTACATCTAGCAATAAAATTTGATTTTAATTACATGTATCGTATTTCTGTCAAATGCCAACCAATTGCTTTAGAAGGTAAAACAAGTTCATAATTAGCAAAGTTCCTTTACGCTCTAAACTTGGGAATCGTATGAGTTACATATCTCCATAGCCCCCAGCAGTACAGCGTTAAATCTGGGGACTTATAACGCTAAAAACTGGGATTCGATACGACTGGTGAGTACAACCTATTGTGTAATTTTGTGCTTAATAAGAAAGGAACAAACGAAAATATCTCCGTCTAGTGACAAAATGTTAAAAGTTTTGACTTGTAGTAAGATTTTCTACTTAATGATTCCCTGACTTTGTTAAGTTTCAGTTACGTTTTCATTTAACATTCACACATTTATAATTGTGTATCATAACACTTTCTCCAGATGGTAGTCGCCGAATCTCCCGCCCACTTAGCATCCAGCCTCAGCAAGTGGACACTTTAAACGAAATGTTCCTGAAAGCTATCAGAAAGCAGCAAGAAGGGTAGTTAGTTCTGAGAGGTTAGTCAGTTTTATGTGTGTGTGTGTCCAGGAATCAGCTGTGGACGTACTTACAGTTTGAACTTAAAAGTTCGAACTGTAAAGATTAACTTCAATAATATGGTTCTTGGCAATTTTCAAAATCAGAAATTCTTGAAATTTTGATACAATTCTATATAAAGACTCCTTACCACATAAATTACTTATCCCATTGCTACTGGTTCATTTCAAGGTTCCTTGCTATATGAATGAACTTTATGATTTTTCGGCACACGAGTCAACTTCGATGTTTCTTGCCACTGAGACAACTTAAGGGTTCTTCGGCACACGAGTCAACTTCGATGTTTCTTGCCACTGAGACAACTTAAGGGTTCTTCGGCACACGAGTCAGTTTCGATGTTTCTTGCCACTGAGACTACCTAAGGGTTCTTCGGCACACGAGTCAACTTCGATGTTTCTTATACGTCATGAGAAACAACACAGTCCTGGAAATAAGAACTGTTCCACTTACTTCTGACAAGAGTGTTTGTTTTCAGGTACCAAGTATTAAAAATATTATAATTCTTATTTAATAGACCAAGTTTTGTTGTTTTTCTCAGGAGCGGAAATTGTGACTTTTCGGAAATTATGACAACAAACACTTCGAATCACTGTGTCAAAAATCTTCGATTGTACTTTTACGAATTTGGAAAAAAAATATTGAATTTAACTAATGTGACAGGGAACTTTGAAACACTTCACAGAGCAAAGAACTTTGAAGTTGACTCATTGTGTAAATATCCATTATTTTCATTCAAGTAGCAAAGAACTCTTAAATTATCTCAGTGGCGTATTTGCCTATTTTTTATACACAGAATTTTTCTCCCATATTCATACTTTAACTTCTTTCAACAAAGAGCAAGTAATGTTAACTTTTCTTTGACGCCAGGGTATTTTTATGTTGGCATTTTTCTTACTTCATTATTTCAGCTAAGGCATTTTGAGACTGTTTATATTTCAGTATAACCTTCGTAAGTATCTTTAACATAGCTTTAAATATTTATATATCTGGTAAACAAAATTTAAATAATGAATTAATGAAAATCGTCTTTTGAACACATACGCGTCCCCAGAAGATAAGTATTGTATTGAGAATATATTCATATTGTTTTATAGGTCTAGTCTACTCACAAATAATTCAATTTTACAAGAATACCTTATTAAACATTTAAATTCCTCGATCACGAAAGATAACGTACAGACCTATACTGATATTCCTATAATCACATATTACTTGACGAATACTTGTCTGTTAAAATATACAATATACCGTGTAAAGTAACTTACAATAAAGTTTAAATCCACCTACCGGAAAACGCTGGACTGAAAAGAACATGTGAAATGTCGAAACTTGTTTCAATTTAAATTTGCTATTGTTCCCATAGATGGAGTTAAACTTTATTTGATATTGTTCCTTTAGCGCGGATTTAAACTTTATTCATTGTAAAGATCAAACTCCCGTAATGATAGGATTTCAAGCAATAGTTTCCACTTATTAATTGTAAACACATAAAAGGATTTTTGTTCCAAAACACGATACATTGCTATTTGACCGTAGGAGATTTTTTTTATTCCTGTAAACTCCCAGTGGAGCATAGGGCCGCAACAAAACCTCGCCAACGGAAGTTGTTGTTGTAGTTACTTGTAGCAGGTTGGTTTTTACGGGGTGGAGTTGCTAGCCCCGCGTCCTTTCTCATCCTAGACTTGGGACCAGGCAAAGGCGGAGGTTGGCATGTTTGGTGTGACGGGGATTCGAACCCGCGACCCTCAGATTAGTCGAGCGCCCTAACCACCTAGCCATGCCGGGCACGTAGAATATTTTAGTGAGGGTTAATCTCACTGCATATTTACTGTATCTTCGTTGTTCTGTCCCTGGTGTAATTTCCCCCATTGTTGATTGTGCCAAATCTGATGGTATTATTACACACAATCACAATTTCCATTCTAACAAGCTCTGTGAAAAACGGTCAGTATTAGATTACGTATCTTGACAACTTCTTTACACATCTTCTGTACGTGGATGTCAGCTTCCGAAACTATGTATAACCCATTTGTTAAACCAATGTATCTAAATAAAAGTTTTAATGTATATCCATAAAAATACCATTTCATAAGATTATTTTCACTCTTTTTGGTTGTGGTGCCCTTATTCTGAAAATCTAGATATTGTAAATAGGTTTTTATGTTAATATTAGGAACTAGTTTTCTGTACTTTCAAATGCGTTTGTGATTATTTTTATGTTTTGTGAGGTATAAAATGTCTCATGTGTCACGCCGTTCTTTTTGGATAATGTGATAAAATTTAATTTTTGATATTCAAAGTCAAACTAAAGAAAATAAAACTTTCTAAAAATATGAGATAAATATTTTATATTGATTTGACCTGTACGTATATACATTAAAAATAAAAATATTTCTTTTTACATTTAATGACAATTCGGATTTGGATAAAAAAAAAAAACGGAAACAGCTTTAGTACTTTAAAACTGTGATTTTTTAAAATTCTCTTGGAAAATTTAGTGATTTGTATACAGGTTCCTTATTTGTTCGTGTAATTATACGACTTATAGTTTAATAAAAAATCTAGGTTATTTCAACATAGTTAATAAAATTCTGTGTCATTTCATCATAATTAGTAAAATTCTGTGTCATTTCATCATAATTAGTAAAAGTCTGTGTTATTCCATCATAATTAGTAAAAGTCTGTGTTATTCCATCATAATTAGTAAAAGTCTGTGTTATTCCATCATAATTAGTAAAAGTCTGTGTTATTTCAATATTTTTTATCATTCTCACAGATGACAAATGAAATTGTTGTTAGATGATGTTTGATTATTTGCTTTCATTCACGTAATCTTCCTGTGGCTCTGCGGCGTGGCTGAGGGCTTAAAACGCTAATAGTCGGGTTTCGATACCCGCTGTGGGTAGAGCACAGATAGCCCATTGTGTAGCTTTATGCTTAACAACAAACAAACAATAATTCATATAGTGTAAAGGATTATAATATTCTTTCTCGTTTGCTTTTAAGCGTGAAATAAAATATACTATAAAAATATACGTCTTCTGCAACCGCTATTACGTTGTTTTGTTTGTGGGAGTTTTTAATAAAATGAAAGTTTCATTTTTGCTGTTTCCTACATTATGCAACACCTTACTTACTTCTAAAACTTGCTTCTCTGTAATTTTAAAAATTAGTGACACATCGTCCTTGGAAAGAAAACGTAAGGAAACAAACGACACAAATGCTGTGTAAAATGAAACTTGGGGAAGGGAATGTTTCTTGAATAATATATAGCATTACCTGACAGTGATAAGTATTAAAAGATGTTCATTAGACTTACACTGAAGAAACAAAAATATTGTGTTTAATGTAATAAACCAGGCATAAGCGCTGATCTTGGAGGGAACGGGTTACAGTTCCTCTGCATCTTTAGTATTAGGGAACATATCTGTCCACCACTTTACCTTAAAGGCTTCTTAGATTATCGAATAATGTAAAACTTCCCCTTCTGCTGGTCATTGTCGTCACGCAATTTTTTTATTAATGATCACCCGTTCCCTCCACCTTGCAGTCAAGACTGGCGCCCATAAGACCAGTCAAGAACAGAAATGACAAACTAAGACTTTACTAAATTGTGTCATGAAGGTGGGTATCAAGAAAGTTAAAAGTATAACAAAATTCATATACGTCTCACATTTATAAAGATAAAATAATATATTGATTATACTACACAGTAATATCTAATTAAGAACTGCAATTTTCTATACATATCACGGTTAATTCTGCTAAGGAAATTTACTATAGGAGTTTAATTGGAGCATTTGGACTGGAACAAATGTCGTTCATGCAATGTTGCCGTTTAATGTGGTGATTTTAGAGAAACAGTGTGGTATTCATGTTTGGGAAATATCAACCTTAATGTGATGACTTGTACAGGAAGAACAGACATACAGACAATTTTGCATGAAATATAATAATTATATGTTTTCCACATTTAGTCCAGAAGAAGTCTAAGCCTGGTCTCAATGAATGAAAAATAACATTTTAGATAACAGAAACATTTTGAGATATACGCAATGCAAATGGAATAATGAAATGAAATGGAAAACAGAGCAATATCTCAAATCGAAAGTATATTGAAGGGGGTTATGAACATTTACATCTGTCTTTATGTGATTCAAATTATCTACATTATTACAAGGATCACAATCATTGGAATTCATATTAAATAAACCAGGATCACGTCTATCAGTTCTCATTGAAAGGTGGAGCTTGAAGATGCAACAGCATGACTATGCTTTAAAAGCACTAATCTGGAAAACAAAACATATCAGATTACACCATTCTACACACTACTATTACAAACGAACATGCAGCAAAGTTCGTTAATTTATCTGTGCAACATGTTACTCTGAAGGCCATCATCTACGAATAAATTTAAAAAGCCACAGAAAGAATCAAACACTCATAATGATAATATCTATAAAACTTGAAATTCAGTTTCAGTGATGCTATTCAGCATTAAAACGAAATCTTGTGGTGCACTGACTATTTTAGATCTAACAGTTATTATTATTATACCTCCAAATGAATTCATACAGTTCCAACAAATAGTGTGATTATCCTACTCAAAATCACCAGAATCTCGTTGAAATATGTGTTTGGACGTATCTTGTTTAGAATTTACAATAAATAAATAAGGTTTGGGGTATTTAAGAAAATATGTTGTTGATAAGTTGTTAATGTACGTGTCTAATAATGAGATATGTTGCTGCTTTTTATTATATCATATTCGTTTGAAAGTGAAACATGGGTGAAAATCAAAAGCTGAATATTAGATAATGTAGTTTTTTTACATTTCAACACTAACTGACGGTAAACGACTTTTTTCTTTTTCTCTTTTCATGTTATCAGTAGAAAGCTTTTTACTTCTTTTCATGCACTTTGTTTCACATCGCATATTTAAATTACAGACAGAGCAAATCTCGTAAACAATTTTCTTAGACAATGTTACAATTTTTAAACACCTACACAACATTGAACAATAACTTCATTAGTTTAATCGATTATACAGATATAACTATGATGATATCATGCTTTGTCATCCTTAATCTTGCACAAAGTACATTACAGAATCTGTAATAAGATTCCAGAGTGTTGTACGTATGTATTTCTGACTAGACCAGAGAAAGAGGAAAATAACTAGCTGTCCTCCCCTGTAGCTAAAATCGACCTGACTTGCTGGCACTATTAGGTGAACCATAAATCTTTGTTATAAAACGTACGATCGCAGGAAGCACGAACAAGGCCCGATCTAATTGCAACCTTCTAGTGTACAAGGAACTATGAATTATAAATATCACTTATAAATTTTCG